CTTTTTTTGCTGGCTTGAGTCGATAAAATGCTGTATGCCTAATTATTTTTAGAGAACATTAAATACAAATCATGTGCGATAATGCAGGGCTTTTTAACATGGGATCCTATGGTTTATTGTAAAAATGCATGCCATTTGGGCCAAGTCAGTTGCTAAAAATGAAACACATAATCTTATGTGTATATTAGGTTAATTGCAACAAAACTGCTATAATGCAAGGTTTTTAAAATATACATCTTATTTTGAAACAACCAAGGGACATTTTATTGTTTGTTTCTTTTCTGTTGCATGAGTAACAGTGAATGATATGAATGAATACTAACCTAACAATATTTTGTGCTAGTCTGCTTATTGTGCATATTATCAGAATATTATTTCTTGCCTGTAAATTGTTCAAATAAATTTGTTTGTTGTATATATTATTTAATTAGACTGGTATACACTGGTTTTTAATTAAGTACTTTTGTTTGATTTCTCAGTGAAACAGTCTGCATATATTCTGTTGCAAGTGGTACCAGAACATATTTCAGTTGGATTTCTGAAGGAGAAACTAAAAAAAGAGGTATGTCTCACTTTATTGCTTCTGTTCTGCTGAGCAAAAGATTTGTTACAGTGGTTTCTTTTATACCTTACTGCCAATTCAAATAACACTTGAAGAATCTGACACTCGGAGACAATAACAAGTATTAGTATGGGCACACATGACCTAATTTGCATATTAATTAGCCAATTTTAAGCATTTTCACTCGCTTCTCATGTAATAATAAATTGATTTCAATGAAACTTTGTATATACATGTAGGTGCTTTGGGATAAAAACGCAGACCTAATTAGTTTTTGGTTAAAACCCTGTGCATAGTAATTACCTAATTTGCATATTAATTGTCAAATTTTAAGCCTTTTCACTTTTTTCTCATTTACCATAAAACAGATTTCAATGAAACATTGTATATAGATGCTCTGGGATAATGTGCAGGCCTGATTAGTTTTTAGTTGGAATCTGTGCATATTAATCACCTAATTAGTATATCAATTAATCAATTTTAAGCCTTTTAATTTTTTCTCATGTACTATTCATCAGATTTCAATAGAACTAGTTACATAGATGCTCTTGGGTAATGCACAGACTTGATTGGTTTTTGGTTGAAACCAGTGCATATTATTGACCTAATTTGCATAATAATTTTAAGCATTTTCACTTGTTATTCAAGTACCATTTAATGGAACATGGTACATAGATGCTTTTTGGTCTAGGTATATTAATGACTTAATTTACATATTAGCTAATATTAAACTTTTCCACCAATATCTTAACCACTCATACTGTAAAATATTTGGAATTTATTTTCGCTGAAGAAATGATTCAATGAAAATAAAATCCAGCGAATATACCTTTTTTCTCATATTTTACATTCAACTTATAAAAAATCAGTGAAAATAAATTCCATACAAAACATCCAAAAAGTCTTTTCAGCGAAAATTAATTCCAGCTAAGGTAAAGTATTTTACAGTATTCAATGAAACTTGGTACAAATAAAAAAATTTGTACTTGCCTAATTTGCATAAATTAACCAATTTATATGTGCTCCACAGATAACTTAAGGTGCCACTTTACTACTCATCAAATTTTAATAAAACTAGTAAATACAGTATTCCTTAATTGTACTTTATGCCTCTAATACCTTCAGCACACAGGAGTTCTTTCTAAGCTTTCTTCTGTTTCTGGTGGCATTATCAAAACAATGACAATGCTATATTTGTTTCACTATGGTTTTTCTCTCTCATGTAACTAGGTTTCTGAGGTTGCAGATGTGCATGAAATTCACATCTGGAGACTTGAAGGTGACATCATTATTGCAACAGCACACATCACTATCAAAGATCGAGGGCAGTATATGAGAATTTCTCGCAAAGTCAAGAATTTCTTTCATGATCATGGAATTCATTCTACAACTTTTCAGCCTGAATTTGTAGATGGAAGTGTGACAGTGCCACCTAACGTAAGATTTGTTTGTCCCCGTGTTCGGGCTGCCTCAATCTTAGACAAGCCATGGCCGATCACATTCAAACTTCACAGATACAACATACATCTTGGGATTCATATGCATGTTTATTTGTTTCATGATCTGATTCAATATGGCCGAATACTGCTATTTGTATGCTTAAATTCATCAAAATCAAGCATTTCTGCCATTCTGGAGCTGCATACCTTATATCATAAATTATGTTGTACTTATGAACATATATTTGTTTGATCAGATTCAAGATGGCTGAATGGCGACTATTTAAATTTCTGCCATTCCAGACCAAGATCTCACTTATACATAGACAGCTATTGTCCATCTTAAATTAGTACATACAATGAACATGTATATTTTTTTTTAGATCGGATTCAAAATCACTTAATGCAAATGCTTTTCTAGAGCCATGTCTCTGACATATATTGACTTGCTCGCAATCAAACTTTACAACTACATTATACATCATGTAATTTGTTTCAATTTTGTTTACTATTTAATTAACAGGGACTTGTTTTGTTTAATCCTGTCATAGTAAAAGTGTCATTCAGTGGTCATAGTACAAATTTTCTTTTTTATTTATCCCACAGGATAAGAATACCTCAGAATGTGCCCTGGAATGTCGTGAGGACAGTTGTAAAAATGCTCTGTGCTGCTCTACAGATAAATCAAAGACTGATGAGCTTCTTGAGAACCTGGAGAGGGAACCACTCATCCATCGTCTGCTTAGTGACAAATCTGAAGTTGATGACGGCTGTGAGAAATGCTGATCAAAAGTTGCTTTGAAGAATGCATCAAATGAAGAAACTAAGTTTATTTGAAAATTATAGCACATTTATAATATAAAAAAAACTGTATTAACACTCTAATCTCTCCTTGCATGTAAACAATATAATTTCAGAAAATGTGAAATGTTTTTAACAACAAGTGTGAACTATACGGTTAGCAACAAATATATAATGTAGACAGTTTCAGTTTTAAAGGGTAATGGTTGTCTTACTGCGTCCTGTTCAATATGGGACCCATATCAACGTATACAACTCATGTAAAATACATTGTTTTGCTGCTGCGTGATGACCACTGCCCTTTAATTCAAGTCACTAGTAACATCGCTTCTAATAAACTGTATATGCATAAACAGACATGTATTGGAACATAAAGCACAGTTTTCAAACTCATAATCTTGGCAATTGCCTCGCCACTGCAGGCACACATGCTAGCTACTGTGCGAGTACATCTGATCAACTGTCTGTGCTTGTTGGTTGACAGGAGCTGCGAGAATATATTCTCATAGCTCCTGTCAACCAATTGAGCATGTGTTAATAAATATTCGTTGCTGTTATGCATGATCTATAGATGGTCAGATATTGTTAGACACAATGTCATCGGCAACCAGAATTAAAGCAAATATTTCTCTACTTGTCTTGGATTGTAATTTAGATTTGCATTGGCATTCCTGCGTTTCTGTGTATTTTAGGTTTTAGGTGGCATGTTATAATAAAGTTTTTTTTATGTTATTTATTTTAATAATCTTTGAGAATTAGATTTGTTTGATAGTTGTTTACAGTAAGAGAACACCATTAGTGAAAGGATTGTATTGTGTGTTACAAGATGATGATTGGTTTCAGGATTAACTGACTTTAAAATATTTCTCAATTCTGTAAAACAACCTATTTCAGGTAGCATGTCATTTTAATTACGATAAAATAACACTATTGCACATTGAATTCACTTGTGCATCTGTTTTTCAAAAGTACGTTTTGAAGTATGTAATCATTGTGTAAAATTAAGCCTGAAGTCTGGTAAAAAGTAAATCATTAAATATGCTGTCAAGTTTTGGGGAATGTAATCCCCAATGTAGGTACTGCCCTTATCCCCGGCTAAAAAAACCAAAAACTTGTGGCGTTGAATGCACGTTCATTGTCAGTATTGTTATGCAAATTCAAACTAGCTAATCATTTACAACCTTCTGAGCCAGTGCAGATTAGCCCCTTATCTCCTGGCAACTGGAATGCAGGTTTCTTTGTTTGATCCATTCAAAAGAAAAACAGGTGTTATTTCCTTTGTTATCCAAAACTTGCTTAGTATGATTGTTAAACTATTAAATATGACATACTGTTCACTAAAATCACTACTCAAGCTAACATCAAAATATTCAGAGAGAGCTCAGGGAACTTTCTACAAATCTTATGTACTCAGAATGCATGAAACATCTATTTATATTGCTGTACACTGGTGATTGGTCTGTGATTGGTCTATGCCACATACTCAATAGCCCTTTTGAATGTTGTAAAATATTTATGTATTATAACATTCCAGATTTATGAAAACCATAGTATTTCTTCAACTCTGTAAGTATAGAATATTTGGGTAAACATATTTTTGATGAACTTTAAGTGGATGTTAATAAAGTCAAACTATTTTAATACTTCTAAATAAACATGATAGTAAATACTAATATTTCTATGTAATATTACTTTCAAATTGGATTCATTGCTGGTCAATCCCTATTCGTGAGGCTTTTGTACATTTGTTAATTTGCCCAATACCGGATGACACCTCTCTCTATTAATAGGAAATGCATCAGTGTGCTTCTGGGTAGATAAAAGATAAGTTTACTTTTGGCTAGATTATTTCTATATTTGCCGTTGTGTGTGCCAATAACTACACTGAATTTGCATCTAGTTGTGGTTTTGATGAACAAAATATTTGAACCACATCATTTTGAGATTTAAGTATTATCTATCTAGATGATTGATGGTGTTTAGTTGCCTTCTTCTTGTCTTCAACAGGAATGAAGTCTGCTGTGTAGGCAACTTGGAAAGCTAAGTGTATTGGTTGCCAATGTTATCTTCATAACAATGATCTTTACATTGAATGTAATTCATGTGGTCGCAAATGTTGTCATCTCTTACTATGTGGTTTATTGTTCCTCTTGGAATAAGGAGCTGTGGGCTAATGATTTTTGTCATGCAGGGCAGCCAGCAAAGATCTTATTTTCTACACTAATCTGATTCTTGTTTCCAAGGCAGGAGACCTGATACCAGTGATGGGCATATCTTTGATTCATTGTCAACCTCTGGGGGGTTGTAATCGAAAGTATGGGTTATCAGTTCAAAATGAATGCGTTCCAGGTTGTAAGAGTTCAACTTCACACAAGGGCTTCTATATGTTCCCATACATCAATGAATGGCTCCTCCACCAACGTTCACAAGAGGAGCCCTTGAATTGGACATGGGTCAGTGATTCATTTGATGGACTTGCACAGGGACTATGGAATGCTTGCCAGATCCCTCAACTAAACGAGTTAGGCTTGCACTGACAGGATTTTGTCCACACAATTACAAGGTTTCACTAGCATGCATAGGCACATCAGGGGAGTAGATAACATTGTGGTCAACTCTTTCAAATACAGAGCAGGTTTAATAGAGCAGATCTGGAGCCAATCCAGCAAACAATGTATTTCACACATGCTAAATATGCTGCATGAGATCCATAGCTTCAATCAGCTTACCAAAACAAATTACATTTACAAGCAGCCTCTTGGCTGAGATAGCTCCGCTGTTAGCAATGCACAGTTCCAATTTGAGAACTGAAGATATCATTAGAAAATGAACAATATGTATAGTATCAAAGCAATCGAAGTAGCTGTTAACAAGAATTTGAAAAAATATCACTTACCAAAAATGACAAAAATATTCATCAAAATTAGATAATTGAGGATATCATCACAAAATGAACAAATCTGACAGGACTACCCCAAGAATCTATGTTGCAAATATGAAAGCATTTGGTTTAACGGTTTTGAAGGAGACAAAAATGTAAAAAGTTGACGACAGACTACAGATGCTGGACAATCAGTAATATGAAGAGCTCAACGTCATCGACTTTGTCGACAGCAGAGCTAAAAACACCAGAAAGGACAATTTGGGTATATATGGGTCTGTATAGAGGGCACTATGTCAACAAATTATTACCAGTACCAACCAGGTCTATACCTTTGAGCATAGTGGTGCACAATAGGGGCAGATTTCAAGATAACAGTAGTTCATCCAGCAGAGCAAGATCCTAAATGTATTTCCAGCAATGCTGGATCTGCAGCACATTCATTTACACATATCTTTAAACCACCCAAACTAACATTTCTCAAGGGTTTAGAGTTGAAAAGGCAGTGTCCCAGAACCTTTTGTTGTGTCCACTACTCTAGTGTATATTCTTGCATCGATTACTGGCTTTCCCATTAGCAATCGAGTGAAAAGCTAGGTTTGGATTATCAGAGAAATGATGCAAGATCGCCCAATTTGCATCTCATCTAATGGCGGAGAACTACCATGCCACACCACTTGATGATTATAGTGGGTTCATTTTTGACGGTGACAGGTCTAGTTCCAAATATTGCCTTTGGCTCAGACCTGTTTATCCACTTCTGTTGGGCATATGTGTCCCACAAGGAGATTTCCTAGATCATACTGTCCAACCATCACAGGTGCATGGAATCCCTTAGGTGGCAGTGATATCCAGATTACCTTGCAGCCAGAGTACCAATGCCTCTGTTGTTCCAAGTGGATGCATCAGATACACATTTTGTCATCACCTGGGAGAAGCGAGGGGTGTAAACATTTCCCCGTTCCTGTTAGTAATTCTTCAGAAAACTGTCAATGTCAACCAATACGACTCTGACACACTATTGTAGCCAAGGATGGACCCCATTTCTGCTATCTTTATTGGTGGACAAACTGTGTCAGCTAGAACCCTTGTCTAAATGCTTTCATTCTCCTCAGTATTTGGTTTTTCAAGTGGGAGCCAATGTGATGATGCTTACTTTACTCAAACCTATACCACTACACTTTACCAAAGCCTCTGGGCTACTTTGGCCCTGGGCCATGTACTAAAGGCTGGGTTTTTGGAAATCACATAACACCTCCATGATCCACTATCATCTTGTACCCGATAGACAGACAATCACTAACTAATCCCGCAAACCTTAGCCTGTTTGTGGCGACCTAGATTTTGCCCTTGTTTTGACATACTACCCAGCCCCTTACACTGTGGATCCAAAACAATTAATCTTGGGAAGTGATTATTTCTCAAACACTGTTACCGAGCAGTGTCTGTAGTTTATCAACACTATATATAATGTCAAGTCTCTTATTTACACAGGTTCTACTATCAGTAGTATCAGTATTATCATCTACCCATGCCTGCAATGTAGTTCTTGGTGCAGCTCATATCTGTTTAATATGGTAATAAACTTGCATTGTTCATTGCTATATTATACCATCTTCTTTAGGGTTGCTAATCTGCCCTATAGTAACAGTCACACGTTAGATTTGCTGACGTAAACTGCAACCCTAAGTTTGTTGGTTTATTTATAAAACAAGTATCTATACTAGCATACCTACCCATCCTATGTGGGTGACTCTATGCAGATCAGCCTTCCTTGACCATGGTCAATTACTCTTCATTGGGTTGAAAAGGTTTCTATAATTTGAAATCACTGACAGACCTAAGAGCCTGGCCACATTCCAATTCGCAGGGTTGGCTCCTGTGTTTCACATGATAAATCAGCAATAAAACCCTATAGTAAATATCGGTAGTGCTTTTATATGCAAGTACAGTCTTGTTTAGGACAACCATAATATTTCAATTACACAAGTAATATGCATCAGTTTAACTATTAAGTACAATATTTGAAAAGTGAAATAAAAGTTCACTGAAGTAAAACTGCACACAATATAACAAAGCAACATATTTAATTATTTGTTTTTCATTCATTCTATTTGATTTTATATTTTCATCACCATTTCACTGACTTAGCCATTACGGCATACAACCTTTGAGCAGAGGTACATTTAAACAAACAAAACACAAGATACAGGGATGGCAAGCTATCTGCAGCAAAAAAAAATATAATAGGTTCATAAATAATCAAGGTGAATAATAAATATAACAATTCGTTTATAAATTACCTATTTTATTTAAAATGGAAGTATTGTCCATGAGTATGAGTAATAATCACATCATGGGACAAACATTACATATGGCATCAGTAAAAACAAGGCATCCTTTATTATCAATATTTATCATGTATGCAGAATAACTATCCAATATTTTTTAAGCAATAATATTATTAAATATTACAAAATCTTGAATAACACTATGAATGAATGGCTATTGCATGTTTGTCAGCATCCTGTGTACATCATATGTCTTAAATTAAGTATGTATATGTATCTCTCAGACAGATGTGAAGATACAGTGTTCTTATTTAAAGATTGTTAATGATCCCTTTCTACTATAGTTCTCAGGATTCTCGATAGCTACATGCAATGACAACAACATCCATCTGATATATGTTGTAGTTCCCTTCACTAAGTGACCATGTCTGCATCATCTAATCTTTTTACTGATATCCTGTGGGCAAGACTTGAGAAAACCTAAATCATTTAATGGCCAAATCTGCAAAATACAATAATAATTAAAGTCACTACTACACATTAAAGTTTGCCAATTTCAATGTGATATCATCAACATATTGGCAGGGCATAGGGGGAACACCATTTGTCAGTTTTACCGTGGGACTGTGGCTCACTATTTTCCCCCAAGGCCATTTTCTCTGGTGACTAAAGTGACATTTTGGGAACAGTTTGAAATTCTTGACATGTTTTGTTATTCCCACTTAGCTAGTAAACAATTCCATAATTTTAACCATACTAATAATAATAACTTTATTGCATCCTTAGAAGTTCAAATTTTCTATTGGTTTACAACAATAAATATATAAGTGATTAAAATAATAGCAAAGTAAGAAAATGTAAAAAATAGAAAAAAAAGAGTCAAGGCAGTATATCCAAAGAAAGCTCATTTCCTAAAATGAATGATTTATGCAGAAATTTACCTAAAAGTTTAATTATATTTCTGTAATTACTTTCTTCATTAAATATGTGAATTTTTGCAGGTTGGTAATGATTTCTTAGTGGAATAAAATACTGGAAATAACCATATGACCCCTGATTGACCGAGCACACCAAAATGTCATGTTACCAAAATAACAAGCAGCCTGTTGGCTGAGATAGCTCCGCTGTTAGCAATGCACATGACAATTAAAGAACAGAAGATATCATCATGAAATGAACAAATCTGAGAGAGGTCCACATGTAGTACCTATATAAATGTAATATCAAAGCAATTGGACTTGCGGTTTTCAACAAGAAGTCGAAAATATCACTTTTTACCAAAAATGACAAAAATATTCATCAAAATTAAAGAATTAAAGATATCATCATGAAATGAACAAATTTGTTCATTTTGTGATATCTTCAATTCTCTAATTTTGGTGAATATTTTTGTCATTTTTGGTAAAAAGTGATATTTTCGACTTCTTGTTAAAAACTGTAAGTCCGATTGCTTTGATATTACATATATAGGTACTACATGTGGACCTCTCTCAGATTTGTTCATTTTGTGATGATATCTTCAATTCTCTAATTTTGGTGAATATTTTTGTCATTTTTGGTAAAAAGTGATATTTACGACTTCTTGTTAAAAACCAAAAATTCAATTGCTTTGATATTACATATATAGATACTACATGTAGACCTTTCTCAGATTTGTTCATTTCGTAATGATATCTTCAATTCTCTAATTTTGGTGAATATTTTTGTCATTTTTGGTAGAAAGTGATATTTTCGACTTCTTGTTAAAAACAGCAAGTCCAATTGCTTTGATATTATACATATTGTTCATTTTCTAATGATGTCTTCAGTTCTTTAATTGAAATGTGCATTGCTAACAGCGGAGCTATCTCAGCCGATAGGCTGCTTGTTTATTTTTGCGTTTCTTTATTTTTTATTTGAAAATCCAACCAAACACTTTTTAAAAAAAAAAACGAGATGGGAAAATGTTTAACTGACATATTTTATTACCAGAAAGTGTTTTTATTGGCATTTGGGTTTATGTAGGTCAATGTACTTTCAGAATGAATGTGCTGATGAGGTGTACCGGTAGCTCATTGATGAGTTTGACTCCTTTCAGTGGAGGTATTGTGATCTAAGTCAATGGTGCTCAGTGCTCAGTGTTCAGGGTCTTTATGTGATGGTAGAGTATGTTAACTTAAGTTAACATATAAGGACACTGAATGTACTAACCTTAAAAAAAACTTTTCCTCGTAGAAGTGCATATGGCACTGGTCCATATTTTCTAGAATCAGTGGAATTTACAGTATTATCACCTTCCAACCATACATGACCCAATGGAACCTAATAAATAAATATGATGTAACATTGATGACCTCTCTCGTATAATCTTTGGCTCTGGTTGTTGCATCATCACTTTTGAATCCATTGTTAGGGATTACTTGATAAGGTATGTGCAGAAAATTAATGTTTTGGAGTTGCGTGGTAGAATTTAAAGCTGAATCAAAGCTACCATGTGCTATAGAAAACAACAGGTGGTTATTAAACTTTCTAAATTGAGGTACAGCAGATGCAGAGGAGGACCAATAAGATACAATCTAAAGGCTCAGCTTCAGACAAGCATGAGCAGAATTCAAACTGATCTGACACAATAAGCTCGAAAAATCAGTCAGACGTGGACCTGTAAGTACTCGTAAAAAATAACTATATTCTGGTCTTGATCACCATCTCATAACATTTTAACAAAGTGTGACTTATTGATTATTAAGTTTTACGCACATATTCATACGACTTTCTCCAAGCAGTAGGGTCTCGACATACTTCATCTCCAGCCATAGCTATTACTCTTTTACAAACAAACTCTTCATGGTTGGTAGGTGACTTAGCAATCACAATGTCACCTCTATGATGAAATAAAAAATAAAAATACTGAATATCATTCACAGAGTAACACAAGTAATTGAAAATGATACAGTCCCCGTTAATTTTTGGAAAGTTCTCTTTTTGCTCGTCATATTAAAGTGGAAGAGTTGTCGTGGGCATGTCCTTGAAACTTGAGTCCCAAGTGGCGTATACAACAGATTGTTTATTTACATCAAATTCGAACATGTGTTGCGTGACGACCCCTCCGGTTTAAGACATGGCAAAGAAAAACATAGATCACAAGTGAAAGCATGACCAAGTTATCACATTTTAAGCAAACAAGATGGCCATTAGTCGGCCAAGTTTGATCAAATTGCAAATTGAATTGACATGTACATGTATCCATTTATGACAATGAATATGATACATGGGTGACAGAGATATATTAATATGGCCACAAATAAAAATAGCCGTTATTCGGCCATCTTTGATCAGATTATGAAACACAGTGACATGTATGATGTATGTGCCAAATACAAATGAAAATGGTACATAAATCTTGGAAATATAGTAGTAAGGCCAAAAAGTCAGATGGCTGTCAATTGGCCATCCTTGATCCGATTTTGAAACAAAATGTCATGGACATGTATCCTAACATGTATAAAGTATATGCTAATTTGAATGAAAACTGACAAAGCATGTCCAAGATACCACATTTAAAATCAAAGAAAGCTTAGAAAGAACTCCCATGTGCTGAGAGTATTGGAGACACATTAAATATAATTCGAAATTACTTAGCTGAAAACTAATTATGCAAATCAGAAAATTAATATGACCAGATTTGAGTGTAAAACTAATGAGGTCTGCGCAATGTAACAGAAAATCTATGTCTCCAAGTTTAATTGAAATGTGATTAGAACCAAAAAATTATGAATTATTATGCTTATTAGGGAATTAATATGAACAGATTTTTACCCCAAACTAATTAGGTTTGTACATTGTCCTAGAGCATCTTTGTACTA